CCTCTGCAGCCGCTGCAGGACCCAAATTCGGCGAGGCAAAACTGTTGCCTGCGCTGCTGCCGGCAAACTCGTCGTCATCGTCACCTCCACCATGACCGACTCTGTCGGACGGCGGAGCCCAAGGGTTGGGCAACGGCCTCCGGTTTTCGGTGTGGGCTGGTAGCCCGGCTCCGCTCGGGGGTGGGTTACTGCCCACGGAAGCGAAGGGGTTGTTGCCCAGCCGTGCCTGCACAGCATTCAAGAATGTCTCCTCGATTTCCCTGAACTGCTGTTCCAGAGCTCTGTGCCCACCAGGAATGCTTTCCAAGTTGCTCATGGCCACATCGCAGTTCCTTATCATCTCTTGCAGCATGGCAGGACTGTTGCAGGCATCTAATATTTCTCTGATGGTATTTGGGTCAGTGAGAATCTGACAGATCTCGGGATTTTCTTCAGCCAGCTGCTGCATCTGAGGGTGGGACATGACAAGATCCCTGACAAGATTGGCATTGTCAAGGATGTTGTGCACAGAGGTGCTCTGCAACATCTTGCTTATCAAATTGTAAATGAACACATCTTGTTCTTGAATGTTGTCCACCATGGTGTCCAACATGTTTATTGAGTCCAGGTCGATGAGAGGGACACCTGTCACCCCAAGGAAGAAGCCCAGCAAAAACGCATTGTTGTTGATGATGTTCAGATCCAGGTCTGAACTGAGCATCCCAGACAAGAGGTTCTCCATGTACTGGGCCACTACTTCCTGGCTGGAGGGCAACATGTCTATTAATTTATGAGCGATCAAGCATGAGTTTTGCAGACTCACTGGGCTTCCCAAGTAAAATACGTTGGAATCACTGTGGTTGGGAGGTTGCATCAGAGTGGCTGCTCTTCCTTGACCTGCCAGGCCGTCCTGTGGTCTATTTTGGGACCTGATGACCACATGGATGCTGACCCCACTGTGAATTCCATGCTGGCTCAAAGTGTCTTGATCCTTGAGGACTCTGCCAGCAAATACCAGGACCAGCAGATCAGGGCGTGTTTTGAAACGCTTGGCAACTTCTTCCTTAAACTCCTGGATGGTGCTGCTCTGAGCAACCTCAAACTGCTCCTTCTGCTTGAGGGTCTTCACGGTCACTTTGACGATAGTTGAGGAATCCATGGTGACAGCAGGCTAACACGTCTCCGCTGCCCCTTTGTTTTCGGATATGGTGGCTCTGAGACCAGGACTGCGCTTCGGTCCGCTGAAAAGCAGAGGTGTTGGCAGAAGATGGGAAGAAACAGGGGGCAATGGCTGCCAGCTGAAACAGGGGGGTGGCTGTTGCCCCTGCTATGGTGGCAGCTGCTGGGGGGGAGCAGTGACACGGGGACAAGGATCACCTCTCCTCACAGCACAGAGTGAATGTACCAGCCAGACGTTGCACAGCTGATCTGCTGGCTCACCACCCGAGCAGTCCCTCCGTGTTCCTTGTCTGCTGTGGCCTCCCGCCCACACAGAATCGCCGTGCAGCCGTTGCTGTGCTATGACATCACTGCTGATGCCAGAGTAAGCAGCAATCGCCTGGAGAGGGGGCACCTCCCTTGGAGCTCAGCTTGGGCTTCACCACCTACACGGTCCCCAGCCAACTGCGTCCCTGGGGCACAAGGAGGACCACGATGTGGGAGAATCCAGACTCAGGGGACGCCAGGACCACTTCCATCGGAGATGACCACCACTGCGCCTGGGCTGGCATCGCCAGCTCCTTCACAAAGCTCCCAGGCGCCCGCCCGCTCCGCTGCGGACCTCGCGCCCCTGTTTCAGCGAACACCCCTCTCCTGCCGGCTTTGCTTTGGGGATGCAAAGCACCCTGGAGCTTCTCATCCCGTGCCCCTCAGCCTGGGGGTCCTGCTGTGGGTTTGCTGCCAGCCCAGCGCAGGGTCAGCCCTCTCCTCTCGCAGGCTCCGGGCAGCGCGGGCTCTGCCGCCTTCCCGATCTCAGGGCACCCCTGATCTCCGCTGTCCCCGAAGGAAATATCGCCCTTCTCCAGCCCGAGCCCGGGAGCACCCTGGCCTTTTCAACGCCAGCTCCACGGAGTGCGCCGGAGCTTGTCTTAGTTTCTCCCCGGGATTGCCGCGGGGCGGGCGTTGCCAGGCAGGGGCTACCCGGGCTGTGCAATTCCCATTTTGCCCCGTCCTGGCGGGTGCCGTTCCCACACTCAGCTCCGTGTTCGCAAAGCGGACCCACTCCAGCGCCGTGAGCGGAGCGACTCTCTCCTTCACCCCGCTGAGAAAGCTGATGTTGGTTTCCAAACCAAGCCCAAAGGAGGTAAATTTGTCTGAGCGTCCCACGGTTTATCTGTTATTTGTGTGATGCCTGGAGAAATATTTCCGCGGTCCCCAGGTTGCTGATCGGTCTTTTCACCGGCAAAATTCAAAGACCAACTTTCACGGAGCCAATCTAAAAATCCAGGTGCACCAGAACACCAGCTTCATTTCTTTAGCCTTATTTCGCAGCACTCTGGTTATTTGATGCTGATATTAATTTTCTGTCATGGTTTGATGTGGAGGGGGG